ACAGACGCTTAACGGTAGATTTAAAGATTGTTTACTTACACCAGAGATGGTAGTGGTGTAGGCTGGAAAACTTGCTTGAGTTGCGGTTACAGACACAGACAACACGAACGGTCATGTGGAGTTTGCTAGGCTCCACGGAACAGAGCTCCGGATGCTCTGGGTGAACGCGCCACCAAAATCGAAATCGGAGATACGTCTTATAAAATTTGCGATCGAAGACGGGAAGAAGTGGGCGATGGATCAGGTCGCCAAGCTCCTCTGAATCTCACACAGGGTCTCTATTACCCTGCCGTGTATCCAGAATCCCCACGAGATGGATGTGGAGTCCTCTTCAGCCTGGGCGGAAACCGCTCAAGCCTCTTATACGGCTAACAGGCCAATCGTTAGCCGCCAAGAGGGAATAATTTAGAACTAGCCAATAGCGGGGAACGAATTTATATACGGTGGCGGGAACTCTTTTGCACCATGCATTTCTCTTGCAACTTGAGCAATGCACTCTGCAAAAGAAGCTGCAGAAAGGCGGGAAGCTTGTCCCTGCACCGGGGTTCTCCTCTGCAATAGGAAAGTCTCCCGTGCAATGAAGCTGCAACTTGGCGGGGATAATTCTGGTGCCGAAGCACACACAAAATCATGCCTTTGGGTCATGACAGTAATCTTCTATTTTCAATTTCCTTTTGGGTTTCCCTATAGCTGTGGCTTCTCTCCTATTGTTCATCAGAGAATATAAAATAGATAATTGATAGAGGATCCCATTCTATCTTTATACAATTAATTAACATAACAAAAGTGGTTTAAGGTATTTCTGTTCACTTAAGGATCTATTTTAAAACCTAGATATGAGGTTCTTTTGCATATTCCACTCATTTGAATGTTTTTTATGCACAGTTCCTTTACAGCCGCATATTAAAGCAGGGACAAAGGCTGCTCCTGGAAATGAAATACTACCATTAGAAAAAAAAAGAACACCTTTCAGGAGTCAGATAAGTTAACTTCTACATTTTTCACAATACTATTGCTAGAGTGGTTTATTTTCCAAAGAGACTGTGCCTGCAATATGTTGTGGCTCAAACACATTTAGGAGATTTATTTGAGGAGGGGAAACCTGTGAATTAGATCTGAAATCATTAACAAGGGGCCGGATTTCACGACTCTTACTCATTATGAGCAAGTGTTTCATAGGGCAGGTTCTTCCATAGCTTGCTTGCATCTTCCGTTATATACTGTAACCTCCTAGAGAAGAAAATATGACTTCCTTTGTGTGTATATTTTGCTTATTAGCGCATTAAACAAACTGCAACTAACATAATATATTACAAAAAGGGGTGGTTATTGCATAGTGTGGCTTTAATAAGGGCTTTGGTAAAATTCCATGCAAGTCTCATGCCTTGATAAATGTGGATCAAATTAAGCTACCAAACGACTGGTGCATAGTTTGCTAAAAGGCTGAATACAGAGAGCAATTATTAATGGTTCAATCTTCAGCTGGGAGGAATTGTTACGTGTGTCCAGAGAGACCCATTCTGGGTCCAATATTATTCATTACTTTCAGTAATGACTTGGAGAATTGTGTAAAGAGTATGTTAATCTAGCTGGAAGACAATAAAAATCTAGACCAGATTGTTAACACTTTGAAAGACAAGATTAACATTAATTATGAGCTTTTAAAAGTGGGCCTACAAAGCCACCAATAAAATAGGGAGATTCACTTAAAAGAAAGTGACACTTTCCATATATAGTAGTTTGGAATAACTGAACACAGATTATACAACTGGGTGTTTATAACTAGATGCACTAGAAAGTAATACCAAAGACAGGATCTGCAGAATACAAGGGTATAACTTTAACAAGAACTTTCCAAGACATATATCAAAATAAAATTGATTGGTATTCCTCTTGAGTAGATGTTATATTTTAGAATCTGATAAAATTGTGTCCTACATTTTTTTGTTTCAACATAGGCCAGGTAAGAGACCATATCAAATCAACAAAATGAGAGCACAATCTTTTCCTTTTGCAATTACACTTTAATTCTTAAACAATTTTATCTCAAGTACACCAAGTAGTAACACACTGGTTATGTGGTTTAGGTCCCTTAAATGAGTGTAGTAGCTGATAGTTTATCTGCTGATTGTTTCCACTCCCACTTGCTTGATCAGCCTTTTTTCTAATTGTGTAGCTGTGCTATAACTGAAAGATAAATTGACTAAGGGGCCACAGTGTGATAGTGGGACAAAAAATGTATATGTTCTAATAGGGTAGTATTAATAAAGATATTACATAAAAACAAGCATCATAGAAGTTATTCCTGTGTATTTGGGCAGTGGTTAAAAGGTGAACTACAATGTAAAATGTCGCTTTCACTTTTTTTTTAAATTTTAGAAACAAAATTGTAGTGTTTAACATAAGTAGATGTGTCAGCTGGAAAATAAAGGTATTGTATAAACCATTTTAGATTGAGGAGATACATCCCCATTCCATCTCTGCCTCATTGAGGGCTTTCATATCTAGTTCTGAAATCACAGCCAATGACAAGAACTTACCCATGTCTTACTACTAATACAAATTACTGAAATTGGCACGATTGTTTCTGCCTCAGAAAAACTCATGAAACCCAACTCTTCATTGTTTAGTTGCTGGGCTGCAACAAGTGGGAATGCAAGGGTGGTAGTAAGTCATCTTTCTACATGTCATATTCCTGGTTGTCTCAGTGTCCCATAACATGACCTCATAACTTGGACCCATAAAAATAGAACAGCCGGATGCTGTTCTAACTCAGAGTCTGCTTTAGTAGCCCACAGTGGCAGGCAAAATCAGCCAAAAAGGCAGAGTGCATTGTGCTTCAGACACTCCCTCTTTCTGCACACTAATAGACCTCTTTAATACCTGTGGAAAATGTCAAGGAAGCTACTGACAGCTGGGCCTAAAGAATCAAAAAAGAAAAATCTGTGCACCACTTTCTTTCATTCTTTCTTTCCTGGGGTCAATAAAAAGACAAAAAGCAAGGCACAAGAGGAAAACCTGATGCCTGAATATATTCTCTTTAACAAGGTGATTTTCAGATTGGATGGCTCCGGTATACTTCCTGGGAGCCTGAAGCAAGTCTAAAGAAAGGGAGAGGCATTCTTTTTCCTCCATAATTTCTGGCTTTTAAGTTTGGGCAAAGACTAAAGCCTCTGATTCTATATAAAATAATTGATAAAGATGTCCGAGGTCTTGCCAACCTCAGGCTACAGTGACCAATTATAATTTCTGCACATGACAGCTGATCTGCTGATTGCCTCCCACCTGTAATCTCCCAGGCTAGGTATGGCTCTACAAACATTGTCTTAGTACCAACACTCCCCACTGCAAGTACATCCAGCAGTGGGACAGCTCAAGGAGATGACTGCATTTTAGGAGACATAACTAGTGAAAAACAGAGAAGCCTTTGAGGAATTTAGGGAAGATGTAATGAGTTATCATTTTGTTCAGTCATCTGGGGCTGACAGAAAAGCAACGGGATTAGAGCAGTGATAACTGGGTGATACTTTATCAGGTTACTTCAGGAATGGGACAAGCTATCAAGGTGGTAATTGAATCACTTTTTAGGACATGCTGGGCATATCCACATGAGATGCATTAATGCTCAGTGGACTATTCTACCATGCATTAGAATGTCACAGCAAAAACCATGCTAATGCACTAATGCACAGTAGAATTAGTCTACTGTGCATTAAGCATCATTAAAAAAAAAAAAGTTTGCCTTTGCAGCTATCGCACCTTTATCTAGTATCTCATATTAGAGGTATTAAAGGCTAGAGGCACTAAACTTAATGCGCAGTAGCAAAGGCACATTCATAGATTCACAGATTTTAAGGTGCTGGAAGGGACTTCGCAAGATTATTGGGTCCAGCCTCCTTTACCAGGCAGGAAAGACTGGGGTCAGGTGACCCCAGCAAGGTGACTGTCCAGTCTCCTCTTGAAGATTTCCAGGGTAGGTGATTGCACCACCTCTGGAGGGAGTTTACTCCACAGTCTGGACACCCTGACCATGAAGATATTTTTCCTAGTGTTAAGCCTGAAACAGTCTTTCAGGAGGTTGTGACCATTACTTCTGATTTTCCCCAAGGGTGCCCTCATGAACAGTTGTTCACCAAGCCCTTGATGCATGCCCCGATGTAGCAATAAGTTGCTACCAAGTCCCCTCTCAGCCTTCTCTTTTTTAGGCTGAAGAGGCCCAAGTCCCTCAGCCTTTCCTCATATGGCTTGCCTTGCAAGTCTCTGATCATATGCGTGGCTCTTCTCTGGACTCTCTCAAGCTTTACCATGTCCTTGTTGAAGTGTGGTGCCCAGAACTGGACACAGTAGTCCAGATGTGGTCTCAGCCAATGCTGAGTAAACTGGAAGAATCACTTCCTTGGTTTTGCTTGAGATGCATTGGTTGATTCATTAATGAACATGTGCCCACAAAAAAAGCAGACTTATGCCTATGGCCAGATTTTCAAAGTAGTGCAATACCCTTTTATGAATCTATATGAAATGGGCACATTTCCAACAAGGCTTAGCACCTATTAGGTCCAGCTGCTCTCCACAAAAACTGCTAACTATTGTGCATATCTAAAAATCTGACCCCAACTGAGGATAAAAATCTGGTTCTTAGTTATCAGGGATGGTTAATAAACTAATTAAAAATATTCTAATGTTTTGCTGCTGGGAGACAGAACCTTTAATGCTGGCAGACCTATGCAGGAGATATTACATATTCCATGGTAGCACTTACCCAGGCTGTAGATTCTGGGCCACGATTAGCAATTTGACAGGAGTTTCTCTCTGGCAACCTTAAGTCCAATCTGTTCAATAATTCATTGGTTTTGCTACAGAGAAATCCAAATAGAATTGTTAGTGCTTTCATAAAAAATAAATACATTCTTTTATTGCACCCCTGGAGTCTAGCCTAGACTTTTTATCATGTGATAACTGAAAAGCATCACAGGTGGAACAAAAGGTTATGAGGAGAGAGAGAATGAAGTAGGACATCAGAAATACAAGTGATATTGTGGACGTAGGGCATTTATTGGGAATGATTTATTTGAGAAAGAAAAAAACAGTTATTTCCAAGTTATTTCTATCACTATTGCTTTCTCAGTCTTATGCTATTAAAAGTTAGATGCACATTCTATCAGCTTTCACCATCACCACCATGTAATTCCTTAATGGAATCCTTAGTTCCAAATCTCCAAATATCAGATAAGTGTCTTAAATAAAAGATGATTGTTCCCCTTTGTAAATTGTACAATGTACCTTTAGAACAAATTATTTTGTCTTGCTATTGGCTTAAACAAAATCCAAGTTGCCTTTAGCTGAAACGCAGATGTACAGAATCATTTCTTCTTTGGACACTCCATTGACCCCTCCCTTCCCTTCCATTCCTCCCCCACTACCCATTGCTGCTTCCCCACTGTCCCGGGGGGAAAGAGAAGCTCCAGAGCCATTTGTGCCTGCCCCAGTTGGGCTGCTCAGGGGCTGGGTGCAGATGGGGCTGGGGTCTGGACAGTAGCAGGAAT